CAGCTTTCTTCACTACATTTACTTGTGTACCCATTTTGACTTCAGTGATTGTGTCAGGATGGTGAGCATCACAGAATGCCAGGCTCTTAGAACAAAATGTTCTTCCATTGAGGGAGGACTTGAGTAGGGATCCTATGTCCATCTGCAACCTTGATATGTAGCATATGAATATATGTATACAGATCTTCATTCTTCAGATGGAATACACAGATCTCAAAATGACTAGCCGTGCAAAGAGACCATGGAGAAGTTCAATATCAGCAGCTAAAATGATGCCAGCAATTGATTAGGGAACAGAACATAAATTGCTCATCTGTAGTTCAGGTTGACACTAAAAAAACATTCAAACAAGTCTGTGAAAGCCAAAATATAACCTTGAGTTAAGTCCATCTGAATTTTGAGAGTATCTCAAGAACAGACTTGATACATTGAATATTAATGAAAGAAAACCACAGAAGCTGTGGGAGGATATCAAGAAGAACATTCATAAAGAAAGCAAAAGGACATTGCCCTTCACCAATACCATTTTGAATAGAATTCATAGTAGTCAGAAGGAAACATTATCAATTGTTTTAACCAGATGGCATATGCTTTGGATTATGACTAGCTTTTTTCTAAGAGAAAAATAAAATAACAAACAACCTTTATAAATACACAGTAGCAGGCTAGCTAAAATTACATGAAACAGGGAACTGATCCAAGATTGAAGAAGGAATTGAAAACAACTAAAACTTGACACCATTTTCAGAAAAGTAATAACAGAGAACAACGTTCCCCCGCCCCCAACAATAACAAATGATAGCCTTCAATAGCTGCATATCTTAAGAAATTTGCTATTGAATACACATGAGTGTATTCCTAATAAAATTCCAGAAACATGGTTATGGTATCAGCTTTCCAACCCTATGATTCTCCTTTTTGGGCCTCAATGACTTTGAGGCTTAGCCACTCTCCCTCGCTTGACAAGGTGCACAGGACGCCGCATTAAGCCTTGCCTGTCTTTGGAATGCAGCATCCAGAGAAGATGGAAAGAATACACACAGTCACTGTACCTAAAGGAACTAGCTGATAGTCCACCATTTCAATACATAGCAGATGAGCAATAACTAATGGTGCTGAAGGAAGTAATTCAATGCCACTGAATGCATTAGCCAAAAACAAGGATCTAGAAATTGATGGAATTATCCATTGAAATGTTTCAGCAAGCTGAAGAAGCACAGGAGGCACTAATTTATTTATGCCAGGAAGTTTGGAAGACAGCTACTTGAACAACTAACTGGAAGAGATCTATATGTGTACCTGTTCCAAAGTAAGGTGACCCAATAGAATGCTCAAACTATAGAATCATATCATTGATTCTCATGTAAGTAAAATGTTGCTGAAGCTCATCCAACAGTAGTTGCAGGGAAACTCCAGAATTCAGGCTGAATTCAGAAGAGGACATGGGACAAAGAATATCTTTGCTGATATCAGAGGGATCTTGGCTGAAAGCAGAGAATACCAGAAAGATGTTTACCTGTGTTTTATTGACTATGCAAAAGTATTTGATTTTGTGGACCATAAGCACTGTGTATATCCTTGAGATGAATGTGAATTCCAGAACACTCTCGTGCTCATTAAAAACGTGTACATTGATAGAGGCAGTTGTATGAACAGAACAAGTGGATTGTACATGGTTTACACTCAGGGGAGGTGTGCATGAGGGTTGTACCCTCTCACCACACTTGTGCAGTCTGTATGCTGAGAAAATCATCAGAGAAGCTGGATTTTATGAAGAAGAATGTGGCATCAGGATTGGAGTAAGACTTTTTATCAACCTTCAATATGCAGATGACACAACCTTGCTTGTTGAAAGTGAGGAGAATTTGAAGTATTGCTTGATAAAATCAAAGATCATAGCCTGTAGTATGGATTACATCTCAATGCAAGGATGCACATCAACTGCTAAAAGGTCAGAGTGTTCCTTAGGGTCAAGGATGATAAGACTTCATCTTACGTACTTTGGAAATGTAGGAGAGACCATTGCTAGAGAAGGATATCGTGTTTCATAAAGTGGAAGGACAGCGTAAAAGAGGAAGAATCTTAGTAAGATGGATTGATCCAGAGGTTGCATCAATCGGTTCAGGTACAGGAACAATTGTGACCCTGCCACAGGACCATGCAGGGTTTCATTCTGTTGTGCATAGGGTCACTATGGGTAGGAGCTGAATAGGCACCTAACAAGAACATATCATTTTACAAACCCCGGATAAAAAGAAAGGACTGAATTAACACGTTCTATTTTATATCTCTCAAAAGGTCTGCTTTATTGGCAAATCTTCAGTGAGTGATAATGCTATTTTTGACACAGGCCCCTGTTGAGCCAAGTGCCCGTAATTCTCTATATTTTTCAACCCTTAGAATAAATATGCTTGACTCCTGTACTCCCTCCTGTATTACCCCTTGAGGTCTTGTCTGCAAATATTGTTGGGCTGGCAAGATAATGGGAACAAAATGTACAAGTTATTCATTTTATCTTTTGCCAAAGAAAAGTTCTTTAAACTTAACCTTGGCTACTCAAAAAGTAAGGACTCTCTTCTCACAATCAAATGTGGATTGTTAATAACTTAAAACCAGCTTTATAAATGTACTTTTGAACTCAGTTTCAATTCTGTTTCTGGTTATCAATAAATGATATAAAGAAATATTACAATTAAAGCAAACATTTTATTTCCTTGAGTGGTCATGGAAGACAAATTGAAGTTAGAGATCTTAAAACCTTAAAGTTCATCAATTATCTGAGATTATTTATATTAAAAATAAATTTGGACAGAATAAGTTTTTATAACTACTGTGGGAGAGCACAAACAGGCATGCTTAGATCTTAACACACCTTATTTCCCTCCCATTACGAGCAGAATAAGGCAAGCATAGGGCACAGAGGATGAGGGCTCTGGTGAAGCAGTTCTTCATGTTAGCTTAGTTAGCTCTGACTCACAGCAATACAGTCCACTACAAAGTAAAGCCGCTCAATAGGGTGTTCTTGGCTATAATCTTCACATAAGCAATTTTTCAAATCTTACTCTTATGGAACTTTGGGGTGGAACACCACCTATAGCTCTGCATTAGTCACTTCAAGTCCTTGGAACTCTGTGATGTGTCTGGCAAGGGCCAAACTTGCCTATGAATGAAGCATCCAGGTATGATTCCCACCCTGAAAGCTATTAAGCTTTTTTTGCAAGATGGGGGTCTGATCATTTTTCCCATTCTTTCCGATTCTGAAAACATTATTTCTTCTAATTAGATCCAGAAAGGCCGTGAGTTACTTATATGCTTCCATAGCCACATGCTAAATATCTAATGTAAACTATTCAGATATTTAATATTGTTTATCTTAAAACATTAGAATTTTATTTGGATTTGCAACTTTTCTGTATTTATTATTTTACATAAGGAACCTTACTTTCCTATGCTATTTGTATATGTTGGAAAATTATATGTGTTATAATTGATAGGGACTATGTCAGTTAAGCTGTAATATTCTGCTTGAAAATTTTTAAACATTCACAAAATTTCAAAGAATAATATGACCAATGAATGGTCCATTCATCTTCCCTTATAACCAGTAAGTTTTATACCTTTCAATTTTGATTTATTTATTCCTTTCTTTGTCTCTACTTTCTAACACACATTTTCACACATAATTTTCCTTGATGAACTTGAAGTTAAGGAATCCTACATACAATAGAATGAAATACTGTTTGGTTCTCATAATTGTTATTATGTTTGACCTCACTGTTGCAGCCACACTGTATCAGCCATCTCAGGAAGGATCTTGCTCTCTTTCAATGACACTGTACTTTACCAACATGATGTACTGGCCTAGGGACTGATCTCTCCTGATAATGATCTATATGGAAGTCTTGCCAGTCTTACTTCTAAGGAGCATTATAGATCTATAGACAGATTTGTTTCTTCTTTTGGTAATTAATTATGCATTCATTATTCCTCCTCATCATCATAGTTCAAATGCATCTTGGATGGTTTTCCTTATTCTGTTGCCTGGTTTCTCATATGAGATTGCTGTGAATTGAATTCAACTCATGAGCAAATAATATATTCCAGAAGACTGAGGAAACAAGTCTATTCATTTGATTTTCCTCTGACTTTTGATATATTCTGATTTTTTCTCAAATCTCACTGCTAATAAGCAATACTGAACTGTATCTCTGAATCTTAATTTCAGTTCTAGCATGACCTTAAACCATTTGTGTTACTTGTAATTTCCATATCCCGTATCATATAATGTTTAAATAGTCCTATGAAAAAAAGTAGAAGGAAATTGAAAAATTGAGAGATCAATCAAAAGAACTATCCCTGTGGAAATTACTATTAACTTGTCACACAGTAATCTGTAACATAGGACCATGACAAGCATGAGGCTGTAGAAAGGTCAATCTCCATTTGTTCTTGGGGAAACAGCTGGCCCGCTAACAAGAAAGAATTAACACCTGTGCAGTTCCCAGCCTTTGACGGGAAGCATCTCCACCTCATACAGAAATTTCCTTGCACCCAATCCAAATCCTTCCCCATGACCTCTATACCACCTGTGCATTATTGGCTTTCACTTCCTTTCCCCTCCCGCGGAGTTGATTATAAAAGCCCAGGCTTTCAAACCTTCCAAACCATTCCAGACCCGCGCCCAACAGGTGAGTTGCAATTAGATGAGACAATCATTACGAGTCTTTCTTCACACGTGGAGGGAGATTGTAAGGACAAGCTCTGTCATAAAACACAGGAGTTTATTTTCATCAAAGATACAGCTAAGGGATGCTATGGCTATTGCCTCCGCAGCTCTCTACACAACTGTAGCAAGGGATGGACATCAGGAAAGTCAATGTACTTCTAGGAGTACAAAGGAAGAGGCATGGGTAGAAAGAGGTGGGAGTAGCTCTTCAGACATACTTTCTACTCATCCTTCTTGTAGTGGTCTCGGGTTGCCTGCTCAACTCACAGACGAGATGCCGTCTCCCATGGCCCTGCCCAGCCTGTCCTGGATACTGCTCTCCAGTCTGGTGATTCTGTCACAGGTCCAAGGTGAGTTTGAGTTGTTTTTTTTTTGTATTTTTTTAAAGATCATTTTATTGGTGGCTCTTACAATAATCCATTCATCAATTGTCTCAAGCATATTTGTACATATGTTTTCATCATTATTTTCTAAACATTTATTTTCTATTTAAGCCAGTGATTCTCAACCTTCCTAATGCTGAGACCCTTTAATAGAGTTCCTCATATTGTGGTGACCCCTCAACCATAAAATTATTTTTGTTGCTACTTCATAACTGTAATTTTGCTACTGTTATGAATCGGGTGGCCCCTGTGAAAGGGTTGTTCAACCCCCAAGGGAGTCGTGACCCACAGATTGAGAACCGCTGATGTAAGCCCTTGCTATCAGCTCCTCTTTTTACCCTCCTGCCCCCCCTTACACCCTTGTGACCCCTTGATAAACTATAAGTTATTATTATTTTCATATCTTATACCTACCGCTGCTTCCCTTCCCCCCAGTTTCTTCCCCCCTCCTCTCCCCTCCTTCCCCTTCCCCTCCTGGTATTGCTACTCCCATATCTGTTCCTGAGGGGGTTATCTGACCTGGACAAGGTAAGATTTTTATGCTTCTAAACATTTCTGGTGCATGTTTGGGGCCCCAAAGAGGAAAAAGCTACCTGTGTAACACATATGGTAATAAAGAGGTATATTCTCACATGTGTAAACCAACTGCAATTCCCCCAATCAATACTGTTTACACTTGGCTAACTACTTGTGGGAAGCATCAGAGTGGTTCACTAATAGTGGAATGGGGTTATCAAAAATCAAACAACAAACTCAGTGTCATCGAGTCAATGCTGACTCGCAGCAACCTCCTGTGGGTTTCTAAAACAAAGTAGGAAACCCAGTCTCCTTCTGAAGAGCTGCTGGTGGTTTTGAACTGTCAGCGATGCAGATCACAGGCCAGCACACAACCACTACACCACCAGAGCTCATGCTGCCTGTGGGCTTTAGTTAGTTGTCGGAAGTTGAGAACATAAAACTATGCATAATGTAGGATGTGCTATAGAAAGGGTCCAGTGTAGAAACAGTCATCCAGAAAGAGGTGAACCTTGAGGAAGAGGCGAGAAGAGAAAGAAGAGAGATGGCTGCTATAAAGCCAAACAGTCCTGAAGGAGTTGGCAATGGTGAGAAGTGGTCATCCCAGGAGTGAGTGTCACTCTCTATGCCCTGACTTCATGGGCCTTTGTGCCTTCAGCGTTACCTTCCCACTGTCCCTCTCCAATCACCAAACTTCCTTTCAAGTGGTTCCTCACCTTTATTTTTCTCCCATGACTACAGGGGAAGACTCCCCGATGGAGCTGCCCTCTGAACGGATCAGCTGCCCCAAGGGCTCCAAGGCCTATGGGTCTTACTGCTACGCTCTGTTTCTGACACCCAAACCTTGGACAGATGCAGACGTACGTATAGTGCTATGGGGATAGCGAGCACAGGGTGGGGTACAAGGGGCCAGAGGATAGAAGGGGGGCTCTTTATTCTCCAAAAGTCCTTGCTTGTGAGTATGTGCGCCTCTATCTTTCATACAACCCTTCTCACTCACCGCCTCCCTACACAGCGAAGCTTCAGTTTCTTCTGTCTCTCTCTCCCCATGCAGATCGCCTGCCAGAAGCGGCCCTCGGGACACCTGGTGTCTGTGCTGTCTGCGGCTGAGGGATCCTTTGTTGCCTCCCTGGTGAAGAGCACTTCAAACACCAAAGAGAACATCTGGATTGGGTTTCATGACCCCACGATGGTGTGACTGCAGTCTTTTTGTCTCTTTGACCTCTGAAATGACTACTGTCACTGGACTCAATCTCTGTCTTATATGCCTGCCTAAGTGGTGCTTTCTAGAGCCTGAGAGCTCAGTGAACCTAAACAACATTTGGGGGGAAGAGAAGACCTTGCAGGCAGTTGAAGAACTGAGTTCTGGGTGTTCAGGCCTACAGCTGAAGCACATGTGCCTCTCATATTTTACATGAAAAGCTCACATGTGGCTTTGCCATTCAGTTCTCTGTTCTCAGGGATCGGAGCAAGCTGTGATGAGAAGAACCTACCTAGGGAAAGGCTATGGCTTTCCTCCTTTAAGAGAGTCATTGTCTTTGGGGTTCAGAGGCTCATCACAAATGTATCAAGGGTTGTTCAGTCAGTAATGTATTACTTTAGATATTTCCATCAGCCTTAGTTTAAAGACGAACTTCCCAGAGGCTATAGTCCTGGAGCAGCACTTTGAGGCACAGATGAAATGGCATGATGCTAGAGAGAGGATCAGGCATTCCAGTGAAGGGGATCCTGCAAGGAGTGCTATGTGGGCTATTACTCAACTTGACTCCTTCCTTTATAGGGATCTGAGCCCGATTTTGGCGGATGGGAATGGAGCAGCACTGACTTGGTGACTTACTCTGCCTGGGATGAAGAGACCTGCAGCAACTCAAGCCCTGATTTCTGTGCAAGCCTCTCTGCAAACAAAGGTAAGAAATGCCAAAGCCACTTACTCCCCTTGTTCTCTCCCAATCCTTTATGGCTTGACCTTGGGAAAAGCCCCAAGTTGTAAAATACAGTGTTGGAAATTACTATGCTGGCTTTTCTTTTCTCATTTTCTTTCATTTCTCCTTTATTTCTATTTCCATCAGTTGAGTGTGACACCAGGGAAGATGGAGAGGCTTTGAACCCTAAACTAGAATATGAGACAACTCCCTATCGGGTCCCAAACCAATCTTCCTTATGTTTCTTACTTCAGGATTCCAGAAATGGCAACGCTATGGCTGTGAAAAGGCGTTGCCCTATGTCTGTAAATTTAAGGACTAGTGAAAGCATTTGGAGTGGCTCATCACTGTGGATTTGAGACTTCGTGTGAAGACTCACAAAGAGGACAATATCCCCCCGACGCCCTCAAAGGTTCCTCCGAATTCAAATTTTTCCTTCTAGTCTCTCCTTCCTGTGCTCATTACTGTCTTTTCCATGGACGGAAGTCTAAGAGAACAATAATCAAATTGTATTTTGCACGTGCCTCTTTCCATCGCAAATGAGATCCTGAAGAGAAGAAAATGGGTAGTGAATAGACACTGTGGATTCTGTCCTTGTCTAGTCTCGGTGATTCCTTGGGCAAATGATGAAATATAAATTCTTAACAGTGTATTTGTGTGTGCTTGTCTAGTCCCTGTGATTCCTTTGGGGAACGATGAACTCTAAATTCTTAACAGTGTATTTTTTTTTGCTATGAACACGGAAGATTTGGGTTGTAGAGGGATATTGTCCTCTTACACAGACTACAGTATGCACATTTACCGATAACGGTTGATGAATATGTCAGAATATTCAATAAGTCCTGGCTTATTTGTGTTTACATATTCATCTGTAGTGAATAATGCTACATTTTTATACCATTCAAAGTTTCTGCTTCTGGAACCATGTGGGAAAGAAGGCAAGGGTATCACATATAAAAGTTTCAGGGAAAAATTATAAATCAAGAATCATATCATATACAAAGAAAAATTGACACTCAACTAAGACTGTGAAAATAGGGTATTTCCAGAAAAACATAAATGAAAGGAATTTGTAAAAACCAGATCAACTTTACTAGAACTACCAAATGAAATTCTTTGAAGAGAAAACTCATAATTGTAGCCAACAACCACAGATGAATACAGGATGACATCTCAATGTCGATCTAAATATTGTGGACTCTAAAGTACATCATGCCTACAAAACCAGGAACATGGAACTAGAGACCTTCACTTGTAAACAGAGATTATTACAAATCGAGAGGAGTTCAAATAGATTTCAAGACCAAAGAGAATGTTTTAAACTTGATATGGAATTGATAAATTACAGAGTAACCACAGACAAAATTAACATGCACCACAGTGAGAAAGAGGAAAATCACAAAGACGTAATATACACTAAAAGAAAAAAAACACAAAGAAAACCATGGTATAAAAAACACAAACAAGTGAACTCAGAACAAAACAGTATGTGGGACAAAGATGCCCACAGTACTACACTCATACACGCAAAACCCACAATAAAATAACAGCAAGACACAGAATCCTATCCATAACTGCTCTAAATGCAAATGGCTTAAATGTCATCAAGAGACAGAATGTATCATATTGGATAGAAAAATGAGATCCACCTGTACATTGTCCATAAGAAACTACTTTTCAAACTAACACAAAATATATTAAGAGTCAAAGGATGAAAATAAATAACAAGGTAATGGCAACCAATAAAAGAGTAAGCGTGATAATATTAATTTATGATAAGGTAAAGTTTAGAAAAGGTTATTATATAATAACTAATGGGTCAATTGAACAAGAGGGCATAATCATAATAAATATTTATGCACCAAAAAATATTTATACACCCAGTAAAAGAGGCTAAAATATATAAACCAAACTCTGCACAATTGAGAAAAGACTTAGCTAATTCAAAAATAAGAAGAGTCTTTAATATGTCACTTTTTATGAAGTGACACTTTTGATCAACTAGAAAGAAACGGAGTAAAAACAGAACAATTAGACAATCCAACCAGTCTTCTTGGCCTCTCAGACAAACGCAAGACAATCGGCCAAAAAGAGCACTGAGCTCATGCTTTTCTGTGAACCTTCCCCAGAATAGACGATATACTGGGCCTCAAAAAGTCTCAATATGTTTATAAAGATCAAAATATCAGGAGGCAACTTGCTGGTTTATAATGTTATTAAATTAACATTGGAAGATCAATAAAATAGCAAATAGATGGAAATTAAATATGTTTAAAAACTACGTTTAAAAACTACTGGGTAATGAAAGGTATAAAAAATGAAATAGAAATATTTCCTAATCAAAAGAGGATGAAAATACATAAATTACAACCTTTGTGACATAGCAAAAGCAGTGCTAAAAGTATAACTTATAGGAATAAGTAGACACATCACAAAAGAAGAAAGAAAATAATAACAGCACCTCAATACCACAATGCAAGGTTGCCAACAATTAAAAATAAAGCAGTAAAAAATTCTACAAATTTCAGGAAATATTTATAAGTTTTAGTCGTAAATGAAATAGAAAATAGTAAACAACAGAATAAAAAGGAGGACACCTGGTTCTTTAAAAAAATAAACAAATCAACAAAGCACTGACAAATCTAATGATTAGAGCCACAATTGAACCAATGAAAATAAAAATACAATTCTAGAATGTTCTGAAGAACTGCATTCCAACCAACTGAAAATGTAAAGGAGATGGAAGTGTTTCTAGGAAATAGTAGCTATCAGTCTGAGGTAGTTTCTCTAGAGAAGCAAAGAAGATGATGCTTTTTGTGTGTGTGTAAAGAAAGATAATTATATCAAGAGACTCATTTACACGGATTGGGAGAAGGACACAGACTGGTGGAAGCAGTGATAAATTAATCAAAATGATCAGATCAGGGCTGTGGTTGCAACGTGTAATAAACTCAAGGTCAGCAGGTATATGGCACCTAATTATGCTCATTCGAAACTTTTACATAGATCAAGAGGCATGAGAACAGAACAAAGGGATAGAGCCTTGTTTAAAATCAGGAAAGGTCTACATCAGGATTGTATGCTTTCACCATACTTATTTCATCTGTATGCGGACAGAAAAGGCGAGAAGCTGGGTCATATGAAGAAGAATGACATATCAAGATTGGAGAAAGGCTTATTTACAACCTGCAATATGCAGATGACACAATCTTGCTTGCTGAAAAGGAGGAGGACTTGCAGCACTTGCTGATGAAGATCAAGGACTACAGCCTTCAGTGTGGATCACAACCCAATGTAAAGAAAGCCCAAATCCTCACCACTAGGCTATTGGGTTAAACAGGATAGGACAATAGATTGAAGTTGTCCAGGATTTCATTTTGCTTGAATCCACAATCAAGAGATCCAGCGATACATAACAGAGTGTAGATCTGTTGCACAAGATCTCTTTAAAATGTTGAAAAGCACGGTGGACGCTATGAGGACTAAGGTGTGTCTGAGCCAGGCCATGGTACCTTCCATCACCACATATGCATGTGAAAGTTAGACACTGAATAAGGAATATTAAAAAATGAATCAATGCATTTGAATTATGGTACTGGTAAAGAATATGCAAGTACCATAGACTGCCAAAAACCCAAATGGATCCATTTTGGAAAAAGTACAGCCAGAATGCTCCTTAGAAACAAGGACAGCAAAGCTTCATCTTACAAATTTGGTTATGTTGGTAGGAGAGACCAGTCCCTGGAGAAGGCCATTATGCTTAATAAAGTAGGGGAGCAGTGAAAGAAAGGAAGACCTTCAACAAGAAGGATTGACCCAGTGGCTTCATCACTGAGCTCAAACATAAGAACAATTGTGAGGCTTTTATTCTTTCTTATATAGGGTCCCTTTAAGTTGGAACCAACTCAACGGCACCTAACGACAACAGCGACTTGTCTCCGTCCCAACAATACTTTCTTCCAGTAACATTTTCTTCCAGGGCTGTGATCGGATTAAAGGTATAGAACGGAACTGTAATATTTCTACACCTGCTTGGTGTCTCAAAGCAGATCCCATAATGGAGGTGACTGACTACCTTACGTTAGATTTCATCATGGGATAAGTAACAATTTCCAAACGAAGGAGAATCGTGGCCCAGCAAGTAGGTACAAAATCCATTGCACAGGGAATGAAGGAACCCTGAAAAGACTCATAAAAATGAAAAATTTCACAAGTTGTGAAAAATGTCCCAGTTAAAAAAAAAAACAAACCAGTCCCAGAAAGTTTCACCGGAGAATTCTTCCAAAACTTCAGAGAAGAGTTAACAGCAATCCTTTGGAAACTGTTGAAAATCCAATGGAAGGCTTCTCATAACAGCAGCATCAACAGTAAAACGAAACTGATAAAAGAAATGACCAAAACGGCAGTGCAATTTGAGAAAAAGTAATTTTATGGGGCACACGTTGGTCTGTTAAATGGCTATAACAGACCTTTCAATGTTGGTACCTACTTCACCATGACTGCTTAGCAAACTAGCTGGATTCCAGCACTATGTATCAATTTGCACGCAGAGGACACTTTTTTTTTAAAGGAAAGGACCAGTACATCCTCTCTCCTCAATTCTTGAAACATTCTGACTCAATCCAGACTGGTTTGCATATTGTTCATATATGGCATTCTTTATCTTTAAAACAATCATTTTATTGGGGGCTCCTACAACTCTTGTTACAATCCATATATCAACTGTATCTGACATATTAGTACATATATTCCATGGTTCTTTTCTAGACATTTACTTTCCATTGAGCCCTTGGATCAGCTCCTGTTTTTTCCCCTCCCTCCCCCAACCCCCAGTCCTCGTGGCCCCTTGATAAACTGTAGATTGTTAATTATTTTAAAATTTCACATGAACTGCTGTCTCCCTTCCCCTCTGGTTTTCAGTTGTTCTTCCCCCTGGTGGGGGTGAGTGGTTCTGTGCCATTCATTGTGATCAGTGGATTATTTCTATTAATATATTTAAATGAGTAAAAAAAACTGTTGTTATTTTAAAGAGGTTTCCCTTGTCTAAGTTAGGAAATAGACTTCCCCTTGTCTAAAGAAAGAAATAAGTATATTCCAATTAAACTTTAGGAAAAAAGAAGAAACAGGTATTTAATATACATCTATATTGTTCTCATATATTTCACGTGTATCCATGTATAAATGTTAATTTCAATATTTCAAGACTTTATCGCTATCTTTAACTAGCAAAACGCTTCTATTGTGGAAAAAATATATGTGTGTACTTAGTCAATTTCTTCACCTGAGAAAGAGGGTGTTATTTGGGACTGTGTGTAAATGTGT